AATGGAAATAAATTTCTCAAACTGATGCAATTCACATTCTTCAGATTATTAGACCAGGGTTCTCAGACCAGTAACAAAATCACAACGCAATTATACACATTAACTTATTGTTCTTGTTTTTTCCTGTATCTCTCTTAAATCTGGATTGCTAAGGAGATTGCTTTGATTGGACAGGAGCCTCAGAAACATGCAAAACAGGAGCAGGAGTTGGCCATTCAGCTTCTTGAGTGTGCTGTGTCACTTAATAAGATCATGGATGATCTGACTGCAATCTCATATCTGCCTACTGCTAATAGCCTTCCACACCCTTACTTAACAGGAATCTACCTATCTCTCCCTTAACAATATTCAAGGACTTGGCTTCCACCATCTTGTCAGGAAGGCAGTTTCCCAAAACCCACAATCCTGTGATGGAGAGATATTTGTCTAATTGCTGTCTTAAATTGATGACATCTGACTTTTAAGCAGTCACCCTTAGATCTAGATTCTCGCATAAGATGAAACTTCCTTTCCACATTTACCATGTCAAGACCCTTTAGGGTATTACATGTTTCAATCAAATACCCTCTTCCTCTTTTAATCTGGAGCAGATACAAGCCTACCCATTAAACCTTTCCTGAAAAGAAAATCCACTAATTCCAGGTCGTAGTCCAGGATACCTTTTCTGAACTTTCTCCAACACACATACATCTTCCTGACATAAGGTGACCAGTATTGTACACAGTACTCCAAATGCAGTCACAATGGTACCCTATATAACTGAAGGATGACCTCCTTACTTTTGTATTCAGTTCCCCTTCGTATAAATGATAATATTCTACCAGCTTTCCTAATTACCTGTTGTATCTCCATACAAATCTTTTGTGATTCATGCACCAAGACACCCGGATCCCTCTGCATCTCAGAACACTGCAATCTCTCACAATGTAAATAATATGCTCTTTTTTTATTCTGTCTGCCAAAATGAACAATTTTACTCTCTCCCAAATTATTACTCCATTTATCAGATGTTTGCCCACTTACTTAATCTATCAATCTCTCTTTGTGACCTTACATGTCCTCTTCACAATTTACTTTGCTACTCTTCATTTAAACTTATGCAGCTAACCCCTGCTGAGGACTCCTAAGGTGTTCCTTAAAAACAACATACTGAATTAAAGTAAGTTCCTGATATGAAAATGTTGTATTAAAGGTTGGTTGTGTTCTTCCCCCTCCTCCCCCCCCAGCCCTCTCTGTGAGTAAGGACTGAGAGGGACACCAAGCAAGGCAGAGAGCTGGAAGGAGCAAGCGAGAGGAAGTGGAAGAACCAAGAAAGGAAACAGGAGCAGGAAGATTGGAAAAGGAGTGGGAGCACGATGGTCAAGGAAGGAAGCCGTGAGCAGGGCAGGAGGGAGGGAGAGTGAGTGAGAGAGTCAGGAGATGGGTGGTGAGCGGGAGACGGGGGGAAATAGCAGAATGACAGTTTATTTTGACATAACTGAACTAAACAAAAATGGAGGCAGTGCAATTCATTCCCTAACTTATAAATTGCACTAAAATAAAACACACTAGTAGGGTACATTTTACAAGGGGGATACCTGTACTGATTGAACTCCTGAAACATAGATTGCGCCCTGCAACTATTTCTCTGGTTCAATGAGTGAAGTGTCAGGCAAGAAGTGGGAGCCCACTAAGGGAATGAAAAAAACTGATTTCGGAGTAAATAATGCTGTTCTGGACCTGACAAAAATATTTTGAACTGCTGCTTGCCTATCAGTCTAATTCCCTCAATGAAAGTGCTTTATGGGCTCAGTTTCAACATTAGCTTGGAGAAAAAACAATTCCTTTGACACTGCCTTCAGGTTTAAATAATTTATTAGTTTGCAAACTTACTTTTTTTTTTCAATGTTTCTGGCTGTCAAACCATTATGAATGTGAATTAAAGCAGACATTTAACAGTTAAAGGTGCCACAAACTACCTTTGGTTCAAAATGTTGCTTTGATTAGACGTGAATATTGAAAGTAGTAATGCAAAATTGATTGACAGGCAGTGCACTGGATACCATAAAGACAACTGTGTTACATGAAAAATTCAATGCTGTGCATAGCACAAAACCCTCAGAGCTAAGTATGAAATACTGACCAAGAATCTAGAATCTAGATGCTATCATCCTGGGTTAGTCTGAACTAAATAATATTGACTTCATATGGCAGCATTCTCAAGGTAGATTCATCCCAGTCCCACCCCAACTCAGTGGAAATGGTTCATATGTGGGGACGGGGAGGGTGTACTTTTAAGATGACGAGGGAAGCTTATGCAGCATTCCAGATGATCCCACACAAATGTCATCATTTTAACTGAGAACAGGTCATCACCTTACCCCGTCACCCAGGGGGCCTACTTTACATCCCAAGGTTTCAACCAGATAACATGATCACCACTGTAATGGCATTGGAAAACCTAGATTCAAGGGCCCTGTATGGGGCTTACGTTGACAGACAACCCACAGCATGAATTCGGGAATGACCGGCACGGGCAAGTTTAGAAATGTTACTCTCCTGTAGAGTCTCTGTGGGTCTGGAGGAGTAGATGTCCTCCCCTGTGAATGGAACACTTGAATCAGCCCAGGCTTGGCTCTGATTCTACATCTGAGCATCAGATGCCAACTTCCCATGTCTCCAGAATTAAGTCTATGCCAGGCATTGTTCCAGAGTTTTGGGAGTCGTCATAATTTTGTTGTCTAGTTTGGGTAGTCTAGCCAGGGAAGATTAACGAGTCTTCAATAGGCTTGATCAATAGTTGGTTTCCTACATGTTTTAAAACTTCATACAGTTCCTTAACAAGGCTAATTCTGTTCAAGCTATAATGCTTCACCTTCCCTCCCTCTCTCATGTGTTCTCTCACAGTATGACAGTGGAAGGCATTGCTCACATTGTTCCAGAAATTAACTCTTTCAAGTCCTCATGCAATAAATCTCTGTGTTTTCCAACTGACACTGTGGTGTACCAAAAAAAACACAGCTAGTGTCATTCCTTTCAGATGAATAAATGCCCAGCTTTATTTGAAATGGACCGAGGACTTAGGTGTCCAGGATCTCACACTGGTTGTTACAACCATGCCTTCAGTTAAGTAAGAACTCTACATCAGTAATGGTTTTCTGTCTGGAATAGCATCAAAACTGCAATATCACTGAGACGGAAAACATTCCCATCATTTTAATATAACCAACACTGGAAACACTGACCCTGGATTATCACTGATACTGGAATAATATCAACGCTGTGTTAACATTGACATTGGATCAACACTGACACTGGATTGAGACTGACATTGGATTGATACTAGTGTTGGGATAATACTGATATAGGAATAACATCAACATTGGGATAATAGCAACACTGGATTGTCACAAACACTGGAAAGACACTGACACTGGGCTAATACTGACGTGAGATTAACACCAAAACTGGAATAACACAGATGCTGTGAGAACACTGACACTGTGATCCAACTGCCATTACAATAACATCAATACTACGTGAACACTGACTTTGTGGTAATGTTGGAATTTCAACAATACACAAATTGCAATAAAACCGACGGTGAAAACATTAATACTGTGGATACACCTCACTGTGGTAACAACAATGCTGTGAAGATACTGACATTGTCATAACAGTGGCACAGGAACAAGACTGACATTGGAATAACAGTCATAACAGTGCCATTGTGAAAGAGCCAACACTGCAATAGAACTAACACTATAAGGATGTCAACACTATAGGGGGATCAACACTGTGGTAATGTTGGAACTCAACAATGCACAACCTGCAAAATAGCTGACAGTATGCTCAGTGGAACTGCAATATCATCAACACTGTACCAATACCAACACTGCGACAACATTGGCAGTGTGATACTTTGACATCATAGAAAACTAATGGCACAATCTTAACACATCTTTAATTTATCTCCTTTCAACATTTTCCAAGTAACAGCAACATTAACATTCAACAGGCTAATGCCTTTACTAAACTCTGAGAAAAATTTCAGACAAAAATTGCATCTCCTACTGTCGAATCAGTCTTATGTTTCTAAAATGAATGTGCACCCTCAAGTTGTTACAGGGTTCCAATTAATTTTGGCATCAAGTAGTCCCAAATTTGCTGAAGGACTGGTATTCTTATGCCACCCAAATTCAAGCAGTTTCACTTTGTGAAGAAAGCTGCTTGAGTGTTTTGAGCATGGCTTGATTTTAGAGTCAGGCCTCAACATGACACCAGACTGGGGAGACTCATGGCTGCCTGAAATAGATCACTTTGCTTACCATTCCACTAAGAACAAGTTGCACTTTTTAAGTTTGGTGATTGAAAAGAGTTGAAAAACCTTTGTACTGATGGCCAACTGATGGCAATATACACTGAAAGACTTCCGTAGATGCATGGGAGCAAGAACCCCTCCAGCCCCTCATTGCCCTGACTTGGAAATATATCACTGTACCTGCAATGATGCTGAGTCAAGGTCATGGAACTCCCTACGTGACAACATTGTGAGTGTATCTACACCAAATGGATTGCAGCAGTTTAAAAAGGCAGTTCACACTACCAAACATATTAAGGAGCAAATGAAAAACTGAAAGAATTGCGGATGCTGTAAATCAGAAACAAAAACAGAAATTGCTGGAAAAGCTCAGCAGGTGTGGAGAGAAGTTAGAGTTAACGTTTCAAGTTTGGTGACCCTTAGAACATATGAATAAGCAAAATGGGTATGTGGAGTCAGATTTCAGATGAGCCATGATCTTGTTAAATGGCAGAAAAGGCTGAGTACGCTACATCCATGGTTATGTACCTACTTTTACAAGGAGAAGTTCTGTTTGACATGTATTATGCAGATACTAAAACCAGTTTTGCAGGATAACTATTTGAACGTCATTACAACCCAAGCATTGATTTGTGTCAATTATGTTGGTAATGGAAAGTCATAGCTATTGCTTACTTGGTTCAACTAATGTCTCTTCCAGAATTATTGCCTGTTCCATGAGTATGAAACGTTATGTGGAGGCTAATATCTCTCAGAAGTCTCACACTACAATCAAATACTTCATGAAGATGTGGAGCAGTGTGAGTGAGACCCTCATCTTTATTTTCCTCGGTGTTTCCACTATTGGGGACAAGCACGAATGGAGTTGGCCCTATGTATGTTTCACAATGATATTTTGCCTTGTCTGGAGAGCAGTTGGTAATTAGAATTTATTTTCTCTCTCTCTACTTGCTTACCCTTCCCTGCCAACCCACGCCCACCCCCCCCACCCCCACTCCACCACTTCCACACCCACACACATCCAATAATATTCCCCAACCAAGAACGGTGCACAGATGGCTTGGCAATGAATCTAATACACAACAATGGTACCTTTAAGAGGTATGAGAGATTAAGTTGCCAATTTTAATTGGGCATCTTCCCAGAAGTTTCATCGCATGACTTACAACCACAGCTATCCAAACTACTTAAAGGGTTTTTTCCTTTCCTACCTCCGAGAGTTTTATAGCTAATGTAACAGTGGTCATTCAAAACAAAGTTGAACAAGTATATATATCTTAATGCCTCAGTGTTGCTTCATGAAGAAGTGTCTAAGAGATTAATCTCTGAGTAGTATGGAGAGAAGAAAGCCATTAATTTTACTGCTGTCTGTATGTGCAACAATTACAGTAAATCCTATGTATCCACAAAATCACAAATCACAAATTTGCCTCTATCCACTCCAAAAAAAAAACTAAAAACAAAAATCAACATGCATGGGCAAAAATGGCATATCTGCGATTTTTTGAACCTATTTTTAAATGCACTCAACACTTGCGAATTTCATCATTCGCAGGGATTCTGCGGAATAGAACCCTTGCGTGTACGGTGGAATGCCTGTAATTCCTATGCCTGGTGCCTCACCTCTTGTGGCATTGCCCAGATTGGAAGTTTACCATACAGTAATCATGGGATTGGACCCAACCCACTGGTTTGTAGCAACAAAGGTTCCGATAATATAATACCTCACTGAGAGCTGAATCAAGCCATTATATTGCATGAATTTATACTCTAGACATTGTGATTCTAAATTAACTGGCATCATCTAACCTTTATCTTTTTCAGCACATATAATGTATTTATATATTTTAGCCACACTTTGTGAAGAAAGCTAGAAGGTATAGCATTCGAGAAAATCAATCTCTGCTGAAGAAAATAGTCTACGTCACAAGATAAACTTGTGAGGAATTCTTGGGAAACTGTAATGGTTTTCTGGTGGATCAAAGGGACTCTATCTCCTATGACAAGCAGGAGTTTGCGAAGAGTGTAGAGTCTCACAAAGTGTTAATACCATAATTTGAGTCATGAAGGGAAATGGCTGAAGCAAACCTGGTCTCCTATTGTGCATACAATTATAATTATCGTAGCATGACATTCAGGCAGAGTTTAGAATGTCTTATTTGGTAGATGTAGTTTCCTGTCAGTTGTAATTCTTTCCCATATGTCAAATTTAATTGAAAAAGCACATTGAGAAATTGTTAAGAAACAGATAATGAGTATGTTCAAGAGAATTCACTATTTCAGTGACTAATAAAGTCAACCGAATTTCATTTTCTCAATTTTATTAACCTTGGATTTCCGAGGCAAAGAGTGCAACAAATATCTAGTAACAGATTTTCTTTTTTTTGTTTTCAGGTGTCATTTGCCTGACGTTTATTGTGAATAAGTTCCGTGTGAATGTTGTGACGAGAAAGGATCAGTTCATCATAGCTTATGGTGGATTGCGAGGGGCAATCTGTTTCTCCCTTGTTTTCTTACTTCCAGATTTCCCTCAGAAGAAACTGTTTACCACAGCTACTATAGTGGTCATCTTTTTTACAGTCTTTGTTCAGGTAAGCAGGGATTTATTTGCTAATGGCGTGCTATTAGTTATATGTTCTACTTGCTGTCTTGCCTTTAGAAATATTTCTGATCCCTTCTGTTACAATGCCACATAGATCACAGCCAAAGCACTGTGGCAACATGGACATTATATTTGATGACCGATGCTGTGTATCCTCTGCAAAAAGACATCTCACTTTCATTGCCCATTCAGCCAGTTCAGTCCTCTAATGCTTGTGCACAAGCCCATCAGCTCATGCAGTGCCCAGTGCTCTGTGAATATGAATTCAAATCCCATCGTGGCTGCTGGTGGATTTTTTTTGTATGTGTGCTTTTCCTCAAAGTGAGTTTGTCTTTAAGGACGCCATGTATTGCTAGTATACAATATTGTGTTTCTGCCTGGCAGTGAATCTGCTGTGGGGTTACAAGCTGCTCACACCACACAAAATTATTGGCTTGCCGTAGTGCCTGCTTCATAACTTGTCATGTGTTTTACTGTGTTAGTTAAACTAAATCTACAGAGTGAATCAATCCCTGATGAGCAACTTATCATTAACATAGTAGGATTTTCAAAAACTTTATAGCAGAATTTAAATTCAATTAATAATATTTGGAACTGGCTACTAGTCTCAGTAATTGTGGCCATGAAACTGACATTAATTGTCATACAAAAAGGCTCACTAATGTCATTTAAGGAGCAAAGTCTGCTATCCTTACCCACTCCAACCTACATATGACCCAAGACTCATAGTAAGCCACTCCACCCAGGGATAGGCCTTGCAGCCAGATCCACATCCTATGAGAACAAAGGAAATAAAGAATGATAAAGAACCTTGTACAATTACAGTATTTGTATGTTTAGGAAGAGAAATGAAAAATGCCAGCACTATAGCATGCATTTAGATCTTTGTGATTAAAACTTCCACTTCATTGTTCCCCCTGGAAGTCTATTGAAAGTATTGTATATTCTTTGCATTCCCTTCTTGACATCAGTTTGCATGTTCTCCCCTTGTCTGCATGGGTTTCCTCCAGGTGCTCCCATTTCCCCTTACAGTCCGAAGATGTGCAGGATAGATGAATTGGCCATGATAAATTGCCCATAGTGTCCAGGGATGTGCAGGCTAGGTGGATTAGCCATGGTTTATGCAGGGTTATGGGGATAGAGTTGGGATTTGGGTCTGGTTGGGAGAGGGTTGGTGTGGACTTAATGGGCTGAATGGCCTGCTTCCACAATGTAGGGGCTGTTGGGGCAGCACAGTGGCTCAGTGGTTAGCACTGCTGCCTCATACACCAGGGCCCCAGTTCAATTCCACCCTTGAGCAACTGTCTGTGTGAAGTTTGCAAGTTCTCCCTGTGCCTGCTCCAGTTTCCTCCCACAGTCCAAAGGTGTGCAGGTTAGCTGGATTGGTCATTCTAAATTGCCCATAATGTGCAGGCTATCTGGGTTAGCCATGGGAAATACAGGGTTACAGGGATAAGGTGGGGGAGCAGATCTGGGTGGGCTGCTCTTCAGAGAATTGGTGTGGACTTGATGGGGTTGAATGGCCTACTTCTGCACTGTAGGGATTCTATGATTGCCCCTCACTTATTTATCATTGAATTGAACGTTCAGTGGCCCTGCTTCCTTTGAATAATTCATATATCTCTTTTCTATGTTCTTTTATATCTTTTATACTGTCTCTCCCGCAGTTGCCTTCTTAGTTGGAGAGCTGAGACAGATCTAGGTCACCGTGAAAGGAACAAAATAATTTATGCTTTGAGTGCACCTTATAAAGTTCCCTGGATGAGCTGTCGAATTTGTTGCTGCAGCACAAGTGGATTGCCTTCAAAATACTGTCTCAGAATTAGAACAGGAATTGGAAAAGGTCAGGGAATGAGACTGTAGAGAATGTGGGCAGATAAGGTGGACTTTACAACGTCACCTTGCGCTCTTCCAATATTTAGAGTTAGCAACAAAAACAGAAATTGCTGGAAAAGCTCAGCAACGTCCATTTCAGTTTCTGGTTTACAGCATCACAGTTCTTTCGGTTTTTATTTAGAGTTTGCATGCTGGTCTGGTTTTCCCTTACAGGATAACAGTAACTCATTTTCATACTATTGAGATTCAGTCTATTGAGATTCAGTCTTCTTCTTTGGGTTTCTAACTGCTTCAATTGACTTGACTTCAACTCTCTGGTTTGGTGACGCTTTGGATTAGGTAAGTTTCTAATCTACCAACTAAAATAGAACAAAATAGTGAGATACTGCACTCATTCTTTCCTACTACCTCAGCATCACTTTTCTTGTGAGTACCTGCTGTATCCATTCTTTCATGGTCCTTTTCTTACTGGTTTCTGTTTATGGTCAAAATTCAATGGGGCCTGAGTCAGTCCCACTGGATAGGAGTAGAAGCATGTATCTAATCTGCTCACATGCAATCCTCTAATGTCCCACTTCAATCCAGCATTGGCCAGTGTGTATTGATGGGACAGATTCAAGGGGCAGAATACATTGGGAGGTTTGAAGGGTTAGAGGCAGTGCCAGTTTGATTAAAAGGGGTGTCTGGAGAAGAAGGACAAGTCGGCAGTGAATAGTAATTCCAGTGAAAGGCAACTCTCCGCATAGTAGCTTCCAGGATCTTGTTAGCACCATTTCTCCTGTTTGACTGTGCAACACTACAGGCTGAGGGCAGCAGATCAGAAACCACAAGCAGTTAAGGAGACACTACCTCAACTTTCATCCATCACCAGTAACACAGGAGCACGCAAGGACGTTCCCATGGTTAACCATGACTGTCTGCTTATCCTCCAGGGTGTCAGCAGAGAGTGAGAGGTTCTTCTTCCAAATGATAGCAAGAGAAGACCTCCCCACCTGACAAAGAAATCCTGGATGGAGGTGCAAGTGTTGGTCACTTACTAAGGGGACATGCATAAGACATGCTGATAATGCCAGGAGGAGTCCATAGCCTTCAGTTCTCTGCAGGAATAAACAAAGAAGCTTATTTGCAGTGCACAGAGAGTCTGAAGGTGATGAAGCTCAGCGATGTGGATGTGTAGTCCTTGAATGCCCAGAATGCCAACTGAAGGAGTCTTGACATTCTACAAAACTCTGGAGGGCTGAAGTGTGATGCCAAGAAGGTCACTTACAAGGGCATACGTCTGTGGTGTGCAGAAGGCAGAAACAGAGTTAATGGGCACCTCTCCAAAAAGCTGTTCATCCCGATATAGGACTCACTAAACTCCCATTGTCTTCACAGGAGACGAGGCCACATGCAATGCCTGTGCAAGGTCTATGGTAGGTGATGGAGCACTGAGCCTGGCAGCATGGGTGTAGATGGAAGAAGACCTCCTGTATCTGACCGGGCAGCAGAGGGCCAGAGGAGAGGACAGAGTTAATGCCTGACGGTGAGTTTCTGACATGAATGGGGCCAGGACTGAGGCTGGGATGGAGGAATGGGATCGGTATTGGTGTGTGGATGTGTGTCAACGTGTGTGGAGATCACCACATCCGAGTTGCGTGACATGTCTGTGAGCAAGATAAAGTTACTTTTACTTTATGTCCCTCCTCACTGTTCACATTCACTCATCTATCTTATTCCTTCAGCAGGTACTTGACATCTCGTGCAGACGCCAATCTGAGGGTCCAGCGTTAACCTCTGAGGAAGAAAATTTAGAAGATGCTTCGTTCCATCCTTATTCTGCTCCACCTGGCACCAGCCCAAATCCTGTCACCCTGTTGGATTTGCATTCATTGATCAAAGCAATTGCAGCCACTGGTTTGATCTGGCAGATCACTGCCGTTCAGGCCTCTGACCTCTAGGAGCAGAACAGGAAGATGCTGAGCACTAGACAGGACGCAAGCGTCTGGAGCTCTCTATGAGACGGTAAATGTTGGATACTTGAGGGGGATGCATGAGACCAGGCTGACATTTCAGAAGGTATGCACCCACCACACCCCATAATAAAAGTGGAGGAGTGGACTGCTCCATTGAGAGATTGCCAGCTCTCCTGGAGACCCTGAACCAGAGGCACGACTGAGCTTTCTGGGCATCAGCAAGTCCACGCTTTGACAATGAGCTCAGATTGGAGTTCAAGTGTGAGAGATGGACACCACACTTGGTGTCACCTTGTGCACCTCCAACAAGGAGCGAAGACCATTTTGACCTCATGCTGGAGGATAAGTAGCAGCTGACTACCTCTGGAGCATCCCCTCAGGGCATTTCCGATGGTGCCAGCAGCCCTTCCACTCCTGAGCCAGTGACATCAGAGCCTTTGGATCTACTGGTGGCAGAGGAGCCTGCTGCCACCAGGCAGTATCCCTTCTTAATGGCAGGACACATGGCACCTCAGATGATCAGAGGGCATTTGCCAAGGTCAGCAGGCCAATGGGGCATGAGGATTAACAGCCAAGATCCAGCACGGCTACAGCACCCATAAACAAATGAAAAATTATTGGGAAAAGTCAGGCCTTCAGGGATATTTGCTGAGTATGCTAAGGTGAGTGTTCTTGATTAAATTCTTGACAGTTTCAGTGGTGTTTTGGATATTTATGTATGAACTGGGGTCTACCTAACATTGACTGCACTTACAATGCCATTCCACCTGCAAATGAAAATCAGAGACACTTCTAAGACAGATTTGCTCTCAAGAATGTACCTCCTTGGCCTTGGGCAGATGTGCCTCCACATTGCAGTTTGAGAGAGGACAATAATGATGAAAAATCCACGCCTCGTGATCATAGTCATGACCTCCATCATTTCCTGAGCATCTGGACTGTGCTTATTCACATGGGTTTCCATGGCCCTGATCAACCTCATGTTCCTCCTCATCACCTGAGGATGCAGGGTGACCAGTAGTTAACCTGGGACATATTGCAAGGTGCCAACAGACTTCCCATGAGAGTGAAATTTCATTGTGGGCAGGTTTACAGTCCTCTCTATGGCTGGTCTGGTGAAGGCTTGCCTCATATTGAAGCTCTTCTGCCTGAGAGCCTGGATGTCTAGTGCATGTCATAAGCCGCCTTCCTAATGGCG